TAGGATGAGAGGTATACCTGAAGTTCAAGGGGAAAATATAAAGGAGAAACTAACAACAGAATTAGCCCTCTGGTTGGAGTTACCAACAGAAGAGGTAGGAAAGGCAATACAATCGGCTTTCAGGTTAAAAGCCAAACCTCCAAAGAATAAAAAATTCATAGGAGACTGCCTAATTATATTTAAAGATAAGGAAATAAAAAATAAGATTCTCCACAAGAACAGAGAGAAAAGGCTAAATATTGGAGGAAACAACATAATAATTTTCAAGGACATACCAGTTAGGCTTCTAAAGCGTAGAGACTCCTACAAAGAATTGGTACAGATACTCAAAAGAAACAGTATTGAGTTTAAATGGGAGTTTCCGGAAGGCGTCTCCTTTACATATAGGAGCAAGAGACAAAAACTGACAAACCCAGGAGAAACAGATAAATTCCTAAGGAAATATAAAGAGTTGAAGCCGCAGGGAGAGGAGGGGGAGGGGGCGGGACCGGGGGGGATCTGGGGGGGCGGGGGGGGGGGGGGGGGGGAGGGGGAGGGAGGAGGGTCTGAAGAGGAAGCTTAAAAGGAATCAATAGTTGTTGTTTTTTTTCCCTACCCCTTAATTAAATTGCAATGGCGTTAAAGGTATTTAGTTGGAATGTTAATGGGATGAATGACAAGGGAAAAAGGAACCGAATTGAGCATATTTTGAAGAAGGAAGGTCTAGACGTCATCTGTCTCCAAGAGACACACATAGCGAGGAAACATAAAAGAACTCTGATTAATCAAAGATTGGGGAATGAATTTATATCCTCAGACCAGAGTAAAAAGAGAGGAGTGGTTATCTATATAAAGAAACAAATTGAAGCGAAACTTCTTTTCAAAGATGAAGAAGGAAGGATATCAGCAGTACAAATAAATTGGCAGGGAGAAAAGATAATAATAGTAGGAATATATGCGCCCAATGTAAATAAGTCAGAATTTTACGAGAGGCTGGAAGAAAGGCTATTTGACTACGCCGAACAGAAAATTATACTATTAGGTGATATGAACGGCGTGGTGTCGTCAGAACTGGACAGATTGAGGGACACAAAGGGTAAAGAAGGGAAGCTACCTAGAACTTTTTTCTCTTTGGTCCAAAACTGCAATTTAGCGGACATTTGGAGGTTTAAACACCCCCTAGAAAAGCAATATACCTTCCATTCAGAACCTAATGATTCATCATCGAGACTAGACCAGATATGGGTTTCGAAAGAGCTAGTCCCAAGATCTGTACGGGTGGAGATCCAGGCCAGAACAATTTCGGATCACAACCCAATAAAAATGGAATTGAAAGGGCAAGAAAGTAGATTAATTAGATGGAAATTGAAGGACTATCTGCTGGACGACCAAGAGGTAGTAGAAAAGGCTCAAAATAGATTAAAAGAATATTTCGAAGATAACTTAGGCAATAATATAAAGCCTAGGGTGGTATGGGACGCAGGTAAGGCGGTGATGCGGGGTTTCTTTATTCAACAGAGTGCAATCAAGAATAAAAAAAGGGAAAAGGGAAAAAAGAAATTATACAACAATTAGCAGAGAACGAGCAGAAACTAACTAAAAACCCAAAAAATAAGAAAATAAAAGAGAATATAAAAGTCTTACAATCCCAATATACAATGTTGATAAACAGAGAGATAGAATGGAAAATCAAAAGATTGAGACAGAGGAATTTCGAACATGCCAACAAAACGGGGAAGCTACTAGCTTGGCAACTGAAAAAAAGAAAGGAACAGAATACGATAAATAGGATAGTGGTGGAAGGAGAAGAGATAAACAAACCTAAAGAAATAAGGAGAGCCTTTTTGGATTTCTATGGAGGACTTTTTAGAAATACAGAAAAGAATAAGATAAGGGAAATAGAGAGATACTTAATATCTAAGAATACAAATAAGATCCCCGCGGTAGATAAAGAGAAATTAAACGCCCCGATCGAGGCGGAGGAAATTAAAGCAATAATAACAGACTTAAAAAATGGGAAAGCCCCAGGCCCAGACGGGTTTACTAGTAGATACTATAAAGAGATGGAATCGGCTCTGCTGAATCCACTACAAGAAGTAATGAACAATATTTTGAAGGAAAGAGAAATACCGGAGACGTGGAAGGAGGCACTGATCACATTAATTCCAAAGCAAGATTCAGACTTAGAGCAAATTAAAAACTACAGGCCGATTTCTTTACTAAACGTAGATTATAAGATCTTTGCGGGAGTCCTGGCAAGAAGATTCAAAGCCATTTTGGTAAAAATTATCCATAGAGACCAAGCCGGTTTTTTGCCGGGTAGGCAAATGAAAGACAATTTAAGAAATATCATAAATATTATAGAATATCTAACAGAAAGGTGTGATAAACAAGGTCTACTGCTATTCGTGGACGCTGAGAAAGCGTTCGACAACATAAATTGGGAATTCCTACTGAAGCAACTGGATTATATGGAAGTGGGTACTGAATTTTTCAACGGCATAAAAGCAATATATACGGAACAAAAAGCAAGACTAATAATAAACAATGTGGAGACGGAAGAAATAACAGTAACTAAGGGAACAAGACAGGGATGCCCACTGTCCCCACTGTTATTTATAACGATACTAGAGGTTCTACTAAAAGCCATTAGAGATAATACAGGAATTAAAGGTATCAGGGTCGGCCAGCACGAACACAAAACCAAAGCTTTTGCAGACGACCTGGTCGTAACAATGGAAGAACCACTGGAGTCAACAAAAGAGGTACTCAGAGAATTTGACCAATTTGGGGAGGTAGCAGGCTTTAAATTAAACAAAAGAAAAACAAAAATAATAGCTAAAAACATGCAGGCGGATAAAATCGAGGAATTACAAAGAGAAATAGGAATAGAGGTAACAAAGAAGGTGAAATACTTAGGGATATGGGTAACGCCGAAAAATATAGATTTATTCAAAAACAACTACGAAACGGTATGGAAAGGAGTTAAGAAGGATATAGAAACGTGGGGTCGGCTTAGACTGTCATTCTGGGGTAGAATAGCCACAATCAAAATGTCGGTACTTCCTAGAATTTTGTTTCTCTTTCAAAATATCCCGATTATTAAAGGTACAAAGATATTTAAAGCCTGGCATAGAGAGATTTCCAGATTCATCTGGCAGGGGAAGAAGCCGAGAGTAAAGTTTAAAATATTGACGGATACGAAAGAAAGGGGAGGCTTCGCCCTACCGGATTTGAAAATATACTATGAGGCATCCTGTTTATGCTGGGTAAAGACATGGATAAAATTAGAAGATGGGGAAGTGTTAGACTTAGAGGGTCACGATAACCGATACGGGTGGCACGCCTATCTGTGGCATGGGCGGAAGAAGGGCCACAAAGGATTTGGGAATCATATATTCAGGGGCCCTCTGTTGGAGGTTTGGGAAAGGTATAAGGAAATGTTAGAACCTAGAACACCCCAATGGTTATCTCCATTAGAGGTAATGGCCATTAAAAAGATTAATATGGGAACCAACTGGGCAACCTACGAACAACTGCTAATGAAGGAGGAAGGAAAGTGGAAAATGAGGCCGTATGACCAGGTTAAATCTCAAGTATATGATTGGCTACACTACCACCAGATAAATGATATGTTTAGGAAAGATGTTAAAGACAAAGGCTACGCCGACAAAAACTCTAGATTCCAAACCGAGATCTTGGGGAATAATACAAAAATATTATCAAAAATGTATAAGTATCTACTAGACTGGAACTTAGCTGACGAGGAGGTTAAGGCGGTAACGACACACTGGGCTAGAGATCTCGGCCGTAATATTTACTTTGAAGAGTGGGAGAAACTCTGGAAACAACATCTTAAATTTACGGCCTGTGTGTCACTTAAGGAGAACTTAATGAAAATGTTTTATCGCTGGTACCTGACCCCGGTTAAATTAGCCAGAATGTACGGATCCTGCAATAAATGCTGGAAATGCAAGGAAAGGGAGGGGACCTTCTACCACATGTGGTGGGAATGCCAAAAGGTCACAGGGTTCTGGGAGAGCGTATATGACGAAATGAAAAAAATGTTAAGATACACCTTTAACAAAAGACCAGAGGCGTTCTTGCTAGGTTTGGTAGGAACGGAGATAAAGAAGAAAGATTACAAATTGTTCCAATATGCAACAACGGCAGCAAGGGTCCTAATAGCTAAAAATTGGAAACAGGAGAGTTTACCGACAACGGAGGAATGGAGATACAAACTACTAGAATATGTGGAGATGGACAGGATGACATGTAAAGTTAGATATACAAAAGATCAGAGGTTTGCTAAAAATTGGGAAAGTCTAACGGAATATCTGAAAAGCTTAACCGACGAACAGATAACACTAGTGGGTTTCCAAGGTGCTCTGTAAGAGGTAAAGGGTAATGCCAAAAGAAAATGGATGAATGAGAATGACTCAAGGCATTACAAATATGGAAATGCGGATTTATTGTTTAATGTTATTTTGGACGATTCGTGGAATGACTGAAGGAAGTCAAGTTCTTTTCTTTAAGTGAATAGATATGAGTTTTGATACAGTTTGTTCTGTGCCTTGATTTCTGTAAACCAATAAAAATTATGCATGAAAAAAAAAAAAAAAGATTTTTACCTGTGCCTTTTGGGCTTAACCAAAGTCAAAACATGGCATTAGAACTAGGAATAGGTAAGGAATGATAGTGTTGACTAAAAATGGCCTGCAAGAAATGAAGTGTGCAACATCCAAAATGAGTTGGTTAGCTAAGTAGTACTAAAGCTATCAAGCCTAGAAGCCAGGTATCACTGAAAAGTTCATGAAGAAGGGATACTGGCACCTGCTGCTGTAGAAATGAGGCTTATGGGGTTATGTAGGATAGGTAAAGTAGTACTACAGTGAAGTTTGATCTACTATGGCCAATGGTTGTACAGCTCAACCAGCACAGAGTGTCCCTTACTCATGGTTTGCATAAGAAGTCACATCATTTAAATCAACTAATTTAATTATTTTGACTTAAATCCACAGCCAAGCCTATGTCACATGATCCGCTGCAAAGAATGGAAACCAGCACTTTGATCATCAGAGCCCATAAAAGTTAAGGAAAAATGATTTTGCACATGTTATATGCATAGAATCTCAGCACAACTAAAATTTGAACACCTAAACAGATGTAAAAATCTCAAATCTGATTGGTGTCAAAGAATAATAACATTAAAGCTATAATATAGTCTCATGCATATGAATAGTACGCATTTAAGAAAAGGGTACGAGAGTAAGTGAGTGTGTCTTATATCAACTGAAGGCCAAAGTACATGTTATACACAGCCATGTGTATTTTTATACAACATTTTCTTTAATAATAACAATAATGGGGGTGGGGGTTGGAATCCAGAAACCAGCCTCTAAGGCTGTGAGTTTCTCCATGGAGGGACATAAGGGGAGAGGCTTCTTAACCCTTTTTCTTCTGGTCACTTGCCCACTCCCCCCCCCCTTCAAAGAAAACCCCTGTTTTTCATCCAGGAGGTTTTCTGTTTAAAAGAAGAAAATGCTGGAGAAAAGATACACATGGCTGCATATAATGTATACTTTGGCCTTGATTCAAGGGAAGTAAAACAGAGAAACTTTGTTAAAAATATGATAGTTACATTTTATGCAGTCCTGCTTAAAATAACTCTGCATTTTTGTCCTTTTATGAAATAATAGATATAATAAATGAGATATTGTATACTTTTGTGCTTTTATGAAAGAATAGATATAATAAATGAGATATCGTATACTTAAAAATTGGAAACTGAAACTGTGATCCATTTATGATGTTACTTCCCACTGCAGAGTAAATGCCACAGTGTGGAACCATAGTAAAGCTTAGGTCTTCTGTCTGAAAATTTTTGAACCCTCTCAGTTAAGCATGAACTATGTGGTAAGAATTCCAGGCCAAAGATCATAAGATTTCTACTCATGAGCAATTTTATTTTACTTTTTATGTTCCATGGAGCATGCCTGATTTAGCCATCTGGTTTTTAACTAAACATGCCCTTTGTGCTATGGGCAGCATTCGTCTATATCACTCAATGCTGAAGGCATACTATCCTATGTTGAGGATGGAAATTAATAATCCTGTCTCAAAGTGAGAGAAAGGCAACAGTTCTACAAAATGGCTTTTGTGTCTCTTTTAATCTTTATCAGTCTATGAACACAAATCAACAGTATATTTTTCCTTGTTAACTTTTTAAAAAACAGTCTTTGTGTGGCACTCAGAAGCCTCCTTGGTTGCCTGCACTTTCTAGAATATCCATGGAGGCAGCCAGGAAGTCTGCTTGTGGAATTCCTGAGAGAAGCACAATTATTATTACAATTAAGTTAAAAGGAATGCTCATGAGGAGTTCATGATGTAATGTCCTTCCACAAGCATTCCCTGATTTAAATCATATATGATTTGTGCTGTATTTGTGATGTTCTATTATGTTATTGTTATTTATTGTCTCTAAGCCGCTTTATGATTCATTCAAATGAAAAGTGGCATAGAAATATACCGTATTTTTCCATGTATAAGACTATGTTTTCTTCCTAAAAAATAATGTCCAAAATTTGGGGGCATCTTATACGTGGGGGCCATCTCCCCCCCATTTTCTTAAACTGGAGTCCCCCAAAATAGGGGGTGTCTTATACATGGGGGCGTCTTGTAGAAGGAAAAATACAGTAATAAATCAATAAATCAAATCATATTCTAGGAACCAAGGGTAGCTGCAATACCAGGCAAGGACTTTGTTTTGTTTTGTTTTGTTTTAAGTTAGCAAGGAAGAGCACACCTTGTAATGTTACTAAGTACTAAACCTCATCACTCGCATAAATTTCTGACTTCCTCCGTCCCACGGAAAGAAGCTAGAACAACAACTGCTTCCTTTGGGGTGGAGGCTGGGGAGCAAAGTAATACCTAAAATGTCTGGGCCTGGGTATGGCACAACTCTAGTATTGACTTTAGCTGCTGAAACTGTGTGCTGTTCAGGATTGTTTTATAGCACTGGAACAGCAATCCTTCACCTATAGACTTAAGTATGCATCATATGTTTGGTGTTTTTTTTTTAAAGCTCTATACAAGCCTTCTGTGTAGCTTGTAGGGAACCTGCAACATGTAATGATTGAACATTTGTTTATTTATTTATTCATATATTCATGTGTGTACATGTGAGCAAAGCTCTCATCAGTCATGAATTCCCTAAAGCAGGTACGCCCTGATTCTACGCAGTGAAAAGCTCCACATGCACAACCATCTCTCCGTGTGATTTACGTATGGTTTGCCCACAAATCCCTACAGAATAGTGCCTTCCAGGAACTTGGCAACATGTGAAATGATCCTTATTTGGTTGTGTAGCGCATAGGGTCTGGCCATTACACATAATGACAGATCCCTATGTTCTACAGCACTGTGGCAATGGAATTCATCAGAAATGAATGCCTCATCTCATTCTGGTTTTCTTCAATGTAAATTAAGTGTTTTATATAGTATAGTAAGAATAGCTATGTTTTCCTCCACCAACTTTTTGCCATTCTGCACGAGTAAACTTATTGCAGCTCATCATTATAAATATATGAACTGGAACTGCATTTTATAAAGTTTTTAAGAATTGCAAAAAAGAAAAGCATGTCATCTCTTCTTAATTAGTCCTCCTTGAGTACCATGAAGTTCAGAAGCATTCAACAGTGTAAAATACACGAATAAAATCAATTACCGGGAAGTCACAGCTTGCATAAATTCGTCAAGAAGATCATCATAAGCTTGGCCTCTGATTCGTTTATGTTTCAACCCAATATACAAAGGATCTTTTAGCAACTCCTGTTAAAAAAGAAAATAAAAACCAATAAGGTAAATATATCAGACAAGTTAACATTTGAGTGTTTCTAATCCAAAAACGAAGACTGTATTGGCATCTCTAAACTGGAAATTAAGGGCACAATTCTATGGTCCTAGGGAAGTTGTCCCAGAGGTCATAGAATTTTGTGGATCTCCTTTTTCATGGATAGAGAAGGAATTCTGTGGGAAGAGCAAGAGGACCATCCACAAAGGCTTCCTTCTTGCAGCAACAGAAACCTCCATGGCTGCCCCACCTTAGATATCAATGTTACAACAGCAGAAAGAAGATGTTTCAGAGCGCTGGAAGAAAAGTATGCCAGCCCTGGGGTGAGCCCTTGGGCACTGCAGCCAATGGAGGGGGGATTTTGAATAAAGGAAAATTGCCCCTCCACGCCCTCCTTCTGCCCTGCCAGCACAAACTAAACAGAGGTTTGAATCGGGCAGATTGTCTGCCTTTAACTCTTCCTCCCCTATCCAAGTAGGATTGCTTTGCCTAACTGGTTTATAGTCACATCCTTCCAGAGAATCATGGGGAGAGACTGATCTCTAATAAGAATTCTCAGCACCTCATCAAACTACAATTCCCAAGATTCTTTGTGAGAGGTTTTGAAAGTAAAAAACTGATACAGGTTTGTAGAGTAGATATGCCTGTAGCATGAGAATGAACAATACAGATACATACATATATTTATTAGCCCATAAAGGCAAAATTACTGAAAGCATAATGTGTGGAATCATTTTCTGCCATTCTTAGATGATGAAGTAAAAGTTAAATTCACAAAATTATAAAGTCAAATTTTGTAGATCAGAAACGCCTTTCAAATAGTGATAGAGGAAGGAAAAAATGAAGATGCCAATTACAGAGTACATATTATGTTCTTTCTTCAGCATAACGGCTGGCTTTGAGTTGCAGATGTCAAATCATACCTTATAATTTACAGATCCCAATATGTGCAGTACCCATAGCATTAAAAAAACACACAACCCAAGCATTTATCTGCTCACATCAAAACTGAGCTAAAGTCAAAACTGAGCTAATGTTCATGCAAAGAACATTCCAAGAAGCCAATGCATTTTCTGTTCTGGCATTTTTACTGTTATTGAAGCCTAACCATCAGCAAGTATGGATTCATTATAGCTATTTCAAACATCACTTCCAACTTCATGAACAAGTTGGCGACAATCTCTTCCCATTGCAGTGATACACTCTGCCTTTCAGAAAAATAGCAAGGGGTCATTTTCATCATCCAGACTGCAACTGGCCAAGTTGTGTATCAGTGCTGCCCTCAGGCTACCAATAAATATCCCCATGGCAGCAGAGAGCAAGGTGCAGGTGCAAACCTTCAACCTACCTTCTCCACAACTTAGCAAAACTGCCGTGTTGGGTACCAGGCTAACATGCAATGATCTGCCCTTCATTTCTGAAGCCACTGCAAGGGCTAGAATGCAGTAAGACTTGGGGAATTCCTGTTCAAGCAGGGCAAGGAGCTGTGCTTTATTCTAGGGGTACTCAAGGGTACACAGTATCAGCACCTTGTTTTTCTAAAAGAAAAGCACTGGTTAAAAGTGTGGCACTTACTTGAATAATTTGATGGTGAGTTCCAGAACCCTGTTTTTCTAGTAGAAAAGCACTTATAAGGAGGCTGTCCCACGAGGAGCGAGGGACTAACAGGCTAAATCTGTAGGTATATCATGGAGCTGTTGCATCAGCAATAAGCTGTCCGCAACAAGTCTTGCTTGTCCCTCTTTCAAAAAGTGATCTATTCTAGAGAATAATTTGGCTATACTATTTAACAAGGAAAAATAACCTGTCCCTTAAATACGACAAGACAGTTTAAGAAGACACAAATCTGTATTCTGTCCCTGTTCATAGTCTCAGTATTCATGGCAGTATCTGTTGCTCCAGTAGTCAGTACAGGATAAAGTATGGAGTAAGCCCCCCCCCCTTTTTGAGTATTCCAATACATTGTCTTTAATAAATTTGCTTGGCAGAGAGCTAAAGCTGCAGCCAACTAGCAGCTACTATTTCAAATCAAGACTTTAGGATAGCTGTAACAAAGGCCCTCTTTCTATTGCTCTCTTTTAAAGTTGAATAACTGAAAATATATGGCACACTTTAAACTAAAACACACAGATGGTTTGAACAGTGAATCTTGATAGTAGAAACCTGAGCCAAATATTGTCAAAATATACTTCTTCTTCTGAACCAGTATCATGGATTTACAAGGTCACAGAACTCTGA